GCATGAACGAATACATCACTAGGTTTATTAAAGTTTTTCATATATATATATATATATATAAAAAAAAGAGCAAATATAGAAATTTGGGAAAAACATTGAAAAAAATACTTGAACATAAAGTTTCAATATGTTGATGCTAGACATGCATCACATATTCAGTTGAGGGGCAATCATGCTAAATATTCAGTTATGCCAACAAAAATTGTTCCCTTTCTATTAATGTTTCATTTATAAGGGTATATATTAAAACAATTAATACTAAAAAAGTGAATTAAAGCACGAGAGTGATTTTCTTAACCATGTCATGTTACTTTTCCATAGCTGCCAACATGGATAGGAAAAAATCCAGTAGATTTTACAAAATAATATAAATTTCATGATAATTGTTGCATCATGTACTAAATATTTTAAGCATAGGGAATTTTAGGGATTTTTATAGTCATCAAAATAGAAAAACTGCAATATTTTCCAGTTAATGATTGACATTAAACATACTTAAAATTTTATGTATTATGTTTACTCATAATTTTGAATATTAATAGTCATTTAATTCATCAAACATAGTTAAAAGATTTTTTTAATTAATTTAAAAAGAGAGCTCTGAATAAAAATAAACGGAAAGAAAAAGGCTTGAATTAATTTCTATAAATGAGGTTCACTTCATTATGTATTGTTTATATTTATTTAATAATTCAAGCAAGCAAAGCAATAGTCGGTACAAAAATTCTATTTCAAGAAATTCTATTCTATTTTAAGAAACTTACTCAATTTTAGGGAATTTTCGAAAATGTACAAAAACCAGGAGAATTTTAAATAAACCAGTAGACCAGGAGAAACTAGCAAAATCCAGTAGTCTACTGGAAAATCCAGTAGAGTTAGCAGCTATGCTTTTCTATATTTGTTCTCTGTGAAACATATAAATAAAAGCATCTAAAAAGATTTTTCAAAGGTATCAAAACATTTCTGTGGCCAGAAAATTGATAAGGTTTGTAAAAGAAAATTGATAATTAACAAATACTGACAAATTATTCATTTTTTCATCAATGAAAGACATTTACTTGTAATATTTCTCTATCTTTAATTTTATTTTCAACTATTGTGATTTGATATTTTATTTACTGCAAATTAACAGTTTCAAACTGTAAGTTGTATCCTATTATTATAAAGTAATCCTGCAATATCACCTTATCAGGTAACGTTTAGTAAAAAAATATTGTAACATGATGAACATATTGAAAACGGTATGAAACTTAACCATTCGAAATTAAAACTAAACAGCAAATGTTTTATATTTATTTTTATGATGAGCTTTACATAAAATTATTTTTAACCAAAACTGTTATTACGAATTAATTTTAAAACAATCAAAAGTTGAATTAAAAAAAAAGAAGAAAAGAAAGCATATTAAGTAGCCATGTTAACTGAATATAATGATTGTTAAAATCTATCGACTAGACATTAACAAGAAAAAGTTGGGATCTTTTAACAGAGTACATTTAAAATTTTATATAACTGCTTGTCCTTATATCACCAAAAAAAAAAAAAAGCACTTACACATATTTATGATGGAATCAGTGTGGGTTATGAGTGATAAAATGAAGATTTAAGCGTGTGATTTAAATTTCCATGTGCGTAAAATTAAAAATACGGAATCGTTTTTATTTCGATCAAATTTTAAAAAGAAAGAAAGGAGGGTCATTGTTTTGCAACGAATTCGAATTTGTAACAAAATTCTCACCCACAGTCAAATACATTAAAATGTAAAATAGTTCTTAGTTAAAAAAAAAAGAACAAGATTTTTAGAACTATCTTTTAAATTTTCAAGACCTGGGATTTATAAATATATACATATCAATACGAAATACAGTATCTAATTTAAATTCTAGCTGAAGCCCGCCATTATTGCATTTTTATTTCTGAAATTAAAATAGGAAAATAAGGAGCATTTCTTTCCAGCCCAAAGAAAGCAACTTTTGTAACTAATCCTGCAGATACTAACACCAAAATTGTTTAATTTATTAAATTTTTCATTGTTTTCAAATGAGATTAGAAAAATTACGAGCATTTCTTTTCCTTCCGATGCATGACAAAGGCACTTTTTGAACATAATTCAGGGGAAAAAAAATATTTCAAATTTTTTTTTACAGAAAAGCAAACCACAACATTTTACTTCATTATTCTCAAATGAGAATAGAAAAATCATTAGCATTACGTTCTCTAATGAGTGAGAAAGGCATCCTTTGAAGACCCCCTTCCCAAATAGGAATCTTGATACAAAAGCTCCGCAATGTTCAGAATTTTAGGCAGAACTTCTGCGAAAATGCGATAAAAGAAATTTCTCTTAAAAATATTTTTGTAAGATTAAAAAACTATTCCTACCAAGCGTAGTGGTGCAAAAAAAAANAAAAAAAAAAAAAAAAAAAAAAAAAAAAAAAAAAAAAATTAAGGACTTCTAAAAAACTGTGTACCAAAGTTAATTACTGTTAAGGGCCTCTACTTTCCAAAATAAAAATCAAGCAGCNACGATATCGATATACATAACAACCCTACTACTTTTGCCTCCTCGAAAAGTAACACACAAATTACAACAAAACGTTTCCTATTCATAGCTGGTTAAAGTAGTTACCACCCACTGACTAAGTGGGGGAAGAATTTTTGCAAAAAGGCGCCGTAACGAGAGGAGAATTTTTTCACCTGACTAGCCGTAACTAAAAGGTTAATAATAAGAATTTAGTCTATAACTGTTTTTCAACCCATACAGCCATTCTTTTTGTCCATAAAAGTTTTAAAGCAATCCAATACAGCATACAATGAATGCACGAAAAAAGAAAGAGGCTTACCACCATATCCATCTGCAAAATTTCCATCAGTATCTGCTGAGTAATCATAATATGAGGCAGCATTGCTGTAAGATGAATTAACATTAATTAACTTTTACACAACAGGTAGGGCTCTGCAAGAATTATCGGCTATACTAACCCATAATTGTTATCGCCATAACCATCACCATAATTATTATAGTCATTTACAGGCTCTTCATATGGCTGCAATAAAAAATATAAACACTTTAGAATTTTATTCCAACAAAAGCTATTTGGAACAAGCAATAACTGCAGAATTCTAATTTTAAAACATAATATATAAACATTAGAGGAAAACCTTGCAATAATTTTTTTAACCTGCAATGTTATGCAATTTTTTTTCACTGAATCGGTAAGTAAGTAATAAAAGCTTATCTAAATACCTCTGATTGACTATACCCTAATGAACGAACTAAATGTGAACTTTTAAGGGCTCTTGTAATAAAAGTAAATTTTAAAGTGGTAAACAAATATAATGTTAAGTTTTTTTAATTGCATATATTCTTGTATATTGATACTTTAAGAAATTTATAATTAAAATCTGACATACATAACAAAGAAAATATGCAAATTATATGGGTTTCATTGCAATTATTCGTGATTAGTATCCTTAAATATATAAATAGTAGCTCAATAGTCTCAAGAGAAATGATTAAGTTTCTTCTTTAGTTTATGTTGTAGCTTTTTTAATAATTAAAAAAGTATAGTAAATAACTATATACAAAAACTTTTTTTTCTTGAAATTCTAATTAACTCGCATGAATAAATTAAAAAAAAAAAAAAAAAAAAAAAAAAAAAAAAATATATGTTGAAATTTTATAACTCCAAATAAAATCAATTTTTGTTTGCTTTCTGCTTCCAAAATAAATTGTTTGTGAGATGGCAAAATCACTAGCTGTTGAGGAATAAGTATTTTTACCTTCAGCGTATACTTTATTGCCAAAAACTTTTTTATTTAAAAATTTCTTCAACAAATACTGAGAAATTTGAGAATGTAATTTTATACCTGCCAAGTCGGCAGGTATAAAAAGTTATAATAAAAAATAACAATTGCAACAAAGTATTAGAAAAGAATTTTACTTTCCACTTTTAATATTAATTTCTAAAGAACTTAAAATACCTCACTTAAATTTAACACTGCCCAATATCACACATTATATTCACTACTGCGAAGAGCATATTATTTTTTATCCCTGAAGTTTTTAAATATAATTACTTATTTCACTCCATTATAAAATTATAAGTTTATTATAATACCTAAGAGTTTTCAAACAAAAATTTGATACTGATAAATACGTGATTTGAAAATAATTTCCTTTCAAAAATATTTCTAAAATCACACTTGGAAGTTTTTAAATATAAATGCTAAAGCAAAGAATTCTATTTCACATTCTAACCCTACAGTATTAATAAAAATATCAATTAAAAATCATCTTCAATATCAATTAAAATATCAATTAAAAATAAACCACCAGAAACCACATTTTAGAAAAATTTATCCATTTGCTCAACATTGCAATTACTAAAAACATGCATCAACATTCCTTTCTTTAACTAAACACTTAGAATTAGTAAAACAATATATATTCATATCATATAGGGATCTATTTGGGGAACCAGAGAGAAATGTCACTTCATCTCTTGTTATCAAGATGTAATTTTGAATCAATAATGTATTTACCCTTGTAAGCAACAACCTTTCAATGCTGGATCGAAAATGAATCGAAAAAAAAAAAATGAATTGCTTTCTAAAGCAAACAAATATTTAATGAGCTGAAACAACATTACTTTCTGGTCTCCCTAACATAAATCCTAAGAACTTGTAGCCAGGGCCCAATATTTCGACAAAATTTAGTCATTACTTATTACGACATACTTTCTCACTTCAAGATTACAACTTTATTTTTCACAACTGCCTTACCACATTAAACTCGACCAATTTCATGTTAAATAAAATAATACAAAATGATAAGACACCAAAACAAGACACATGGGTTTTACTGACTAAACTGTCTTAAAGTGTTTAAAATCTCGTACATTTTTAAAAGGAAAATTTTTCATATGTGCAACCATCATACACATAATAATTACACATATTAATAAACATTTATTACTTTTACTTTAAATTAAAGGAAAATAAAATAATGTAATATAATACAAAAAGATTAATAGCTTTTGAAGCTGCACAATTCACCTAATAACAAAGGTGAATACCTTATCCTTCAAACATGTTTTGAATATTGATAAATTATGTTTTCGCATAAGGACAAAAAACGCAATATTAATAATAATAAAATTTTTATAATAAAACAAACCTGTCTTCATTTTCTTTCTTGTTCAAAAATTAACCTTTTACTTTTCAGATTTTTTTTAAAATTGTGACATAATTTGAACAGGATGGTTTAAACCCTGAATTTATCCATTGTCTTTAACCTTGCTAACTCTGCCGAAGAGATATTAGCAATTTATAAAGGATGTAAATATATATTTTGCAGAATATTGTATGCATTTGCTTTATTATGTTGTTCTATTCTAGAAATTTCAACTAGTTCACCCTTAGAATCTAATACAAAACTGTTTTAAATTTTACTTAAAGAATTTAGATTGTTGGTTCAAGGGAGAAATATTTTGCTTGCGATATTTAAGAAACACGAGTGAGAGGAATTGTTATCAAGCTCTACTTGAAATTAGCAAGCATATTCTAGCTAGAAAAAAAAAATTGCCAAAATCATAATTAACCTAATAGTATCTACAGGGGTAGCAGCAAAGTTTTTTAAAACAGACGTGCCAACCTAGCAAAATTAACATTCAGGAGTTTCCCTAACAAGAATTCAGGAGATTTCAGGAGGGGTAAAAAAAGGTGCATGGTATGCAACATTTGGCAGTTCTAAGGAATTTTAAGTAAAAAATTTATTAAATATAAGAATGCAAGAAATTTTACACACTAATAGAGCAATAATTGTTTAAAAATATTAAATGGAAATAAAATAATTAAACACAGATTTAGCAACACAAAACTATATTAGGTAGATACTCTTTAAATAAATACCATTTCCTTAATAAAACATTATTCAAAAACCCGACACTGTAATAAAAATACACAAAAACTTTTAAAAAATAAACAAATTGAATAAGTATTTTATTTTAAAAAACCAATTCAATACTAATGTCTGTACAATAAAGAACCAATTATCCGGGATGCTCGGGACCATCGCTATCCCGGATGTCTTAATTTCCCGGTTTCCTGGATCGACAAAAAAGTGTCGTTAATCGATGTTTTATCAAACCCAAATTACAAGGAAAAAATGTAAACACATTTTAAAGTAAGAGAAAAAAGAAAAGCACTCCTAAATCTAAAAAGGAAAAAAATTGTAGAAAAATAAAATTTAAAAGAATAAAAAAATTTGCAAGTTTAGACAAGAAAAACAAGTTTAAAAAATAATTACGATTCCTAAATCAACTAATAAACAAAACCAATGATTAAATAACGCAATATATTTCATGGGGGGGGGGCGAAAATAAAAGGAAAACCTATTAATCTAAATAAAAACAACACTTGAAAATTATCGAACCGAAACGATAGTTAAAAAACGGCACTAGCATAAATATTAAAACCTAGAACAAGGCAAGATCAACGGACTTTAAAAAAAAAAAA